TCCTCCTACCCTCTCCTGTTCTAGCCATGCAAGCAGCTAAAAAGGGGCCCATGCAGAGCAGTTTTCCTCCCAGCTTGACCCACTCACCCAGCCAGCTCCTCTGCACCTTCCGAGCACAGAGGACAAAGGAACGCGAGCCAGAGAGCAAGTGGGCATTCAAGGGAACGAGTGAGAACCAGAATGCAAGTTCCTGCTGGATGCTTTGGCATAACCCCACTTCCCCACGGCCTGCCCTGTCTCCTCCTGCAGCGACAAGAGACACGAAGGGGAGCCAAGTGGAATATCCATCCTTCTAGAGGGACTTGGCAGGGTTAGCATTCGCCCCACCTGAACACTCCAAGGGGGCCTTGTCTTCGCTGCCGGAAAAGCCCTAGTTCTTATCCTTTGGGATGAGACTTGGCTTTTTCCATCCCTTATCTTCTTCCCGGGGACACACCTCGGTTGCTTATACAGTCGTACCTTGGTTCCTGAACGGAATCCTTTCCGGAAGTCTGTTTGACTTCCAAAACGTCCGGAAACCAAGGCACAGCTTCTGATTGGCTGCAGGAAGCTCCTGCAACCAATCAGAAGCCACATTGGACATTTGGCTTCCAAAAATAGTTCACAAACCAGAACACTCACTTCCAAGAGCCAAACATTGGGAGCCAAAATGTTTGAGAACTAAGCTGTTCGAAAACCAAAGTACGACTGTGCTCCATTTTGATTTGGGCATACAGTCGTACCTTGGTACTCAAACAGCCTGCCTCTCAAACAAATCGGATCCAGTACACCGCAAACCCAAAAGTGTTTCGGTTTGCAAATGTTTTTCGGAAGCCGAGCATTTGACACGGCTTCCGCTTGAGTGCAGGAACCTCCTGCAGCCAATCAGAAGCCACACCTTGGTTTTTGAATGGTTTCGGGAGTCGAACGGACTCCCGGAATGGATTAAGCTCGAGAACCAAGGTACCACCATATCTGCAACTAACCCCTTTTTCGGTCAACTCCCTCAGCCTAAAAGAGCTCCTGGGAATTTGGAAGTTTTACCATGGCTTCTTTTCCCCCACGGAAGCTTTTCTCCCACAAACCTTCCCCCACAAGACTTGCTCCAAGCCCAGCTAGGAGAAAAGCAGCTACAGGGAGGTGGAAAGTTTCAGCAAACCTTCCCATGCCAACACTTCACCCACTTAATCTGCTACTTGGCGGCAGCCCATAATTGAAGGCAAAATTCTGCTGCTATTCTGTGTGGTTCTACCTTGATGAATGCCCTGCCTCTGGGCCTCATCCTGCCCCACTTTTATCAGCTTCATGCAACGCCTGTTGCCTACACGGTGTGAAAGGAAAGGAGCGTTGAGAGACTAATAATAATAATAATAATAATAAATAAATTTTTATTATAACCCCAGGCAACTACTAAGGGGAGAGATATCCATGGAGCTAACAGCCAGGGCTGCTTGCTAGGCTCTAGCAAGAACACAAAACTAAATATCATTTGAATAGTTAGAGAAGGACACAAGGGCAACGTGCACGCCCCCATTAAGTGTTTCCTGAGTTTGGCAAATGCAAATATAGCCTGAAGGAAGATTTGTAGTGAGGAGTAATTGTAAAATAAAAGAGGAAGGAAGTTGTTGTTGTTTAGCTAGATAGACAGACAGGCATAGATGCAAGTTATTATACAGTATTTTGTTCAAGGGTACAGTATCACCTAGGGACGCGGGTGGCGCTGTGGGTTAAACCACAGAGCCTAGGACTTGCCGATCAGAAGGTCGGCGGTTCGAATCCCCGTGATGGGGTGAGCTCCCGTTGCTCGGTCCCTGCTCCTGCCCACCTAGCAGTTCGAAAGCACGTCAAAGTGCAAGTAGATAAATAGGTACCACTCTGGTGGGAAGGTAAACGGCGTTTCCGTGCGCTGCTCTGTTTCGCCAGAAGTGGCTTAGTCATGCTGGCCACATGACCCGGAAGCTGAACGCTGGTTCCCTCGGCCAGTAAAGCGAGATGAGCGCTACAACCCCAGAGTCGTCCGCGACTGGACCTAACAGTCAGGGGTCCCTTTACCTTTTTACAGTATCACCTACAGTCTGGAAATTCTTGAAGTTAATTTATGACTCCGGAGCTGAATGTTTGCGCAGTCTCGTGTAGATTTTTCAACCGGGCTGGCTACCTACATATCTGAACGAATTAAACTTGAGGTAGCTAACACAAAACCACAACTGGCAAAGTTGGCTGGTGAGTGCTCAAATCGCAACTGAGCTATTGCGGTGATAGGGGGCACTCTCTCCTTTCTTAACAATGAAAGGCTGAGGAGAATGCAGGTTGAATCCACAAGATTTAAAAAGGATTTTAACTAGAGGTCTCTGTCTAGGACCTTGGAGAGCTACCGCCATTAATCTGAACAGATCAAACTTTGGTTCTCAAACTTTTTTCCTCAGGGCCACACTTTCAGAATGTGTGTGTGTGTGTGTGTGTGTGTGTGTGTGTAAGAAATACATTGGAAAACAAAAACAAGCAAAGAAGTTCTATTTATAGCGTAGAACACAAATATCTTATAATCTCCAAAAATTATAAAACAATGCAACTACGTAAGAACATGAATCATTCCCACACACTTGATACTCTTGCTTTCATGTTGAAAAGGTATCTATCACATTATGCAAATAAAAAAAAATTGTTGATACTATACTGCACTGAAATGTTCAAACCTTGAATCTTTTACGAAAGAATGGAAATGGTTTATTGAATATTTACAGATAAATTGTAAACAGATAAGAACATTGGCAGGATTATTGTAATAACCTGCAGCTTTGTAAGAGTATATAATTAGATGAATAAATGAGCAAATTTATTTGGATATGCAGAAGATATTAAAAATAAATTCAAGAGACCACAGAAAGAGGGGAAAGGAAGTCGAGCTTTGAAATGTTAAAATGATTGTAAAATTAGTGAAATGTATAAACTTGAAAAGCATATACAGTGGTACCTCGGGTTAAGTACTTAATTCGTTCCGGAGGTCTGTTCTTAACCTGAAACTGTTCTTAACCTGAAGTACCACTTTAGCTAATGGGGCCTCCTGCTGCTGCCGCGCCGCCCGATTTCTGTTCTTATCCTGAAGCAAAGTTCTTAACCTGAAGCATTATTTCTGGGTTAGCGGAGTGTGTAACCTGAAGCATATGTAACCTGAAGCATATGTAACCCGAGGTACCACTGTGTGTGTGTGTGTGTGTGTATGCTGATTGGGGGGGGGGAGATTACCCTTGACTCTTCCTGCCAAACTTGCTATCCTCTTTTGTTACACCAGTGTAGCCACACCACACCCTTTGAGAACAGCTGGAATGGGCGATAGTAAACTTGATGGACCAGTGGCTTGATTTGGTATATGGCAGCTTCCTATGTCTCCCTGGGAGATGCTACAACCTTGTCCTCTGCTCTCCTACCCCAACCTCCAGCAGAAGACGCCAGCAGCCAGCTACTGCCAGCAGGACAAGGAAAAGAACCCTGCTGCTTTGCGTTCTCCAGCTCTGGCTAATGGATGCAATCAGAGAGGAGGCCTCAGCTGTCATCTGGTCCTTGCAGGTCAACAGCACAGGCCTTTATTACTGAAATTCCCTTTTGCTACCTGCAGAATGGCTGGCCATTGGAATTTCTTCTGCAGCACAGCTAGTAAAGTCTTTTAAAATATAATAATAATCCCTGTCACTCTCTTTTATGATATGTGTCTGTTCACTCTTGCTATCTTTCCACTTGAAAAAAGAAAAAAAAGGAAGCTAAAACCAAAAGAGCATCAGCACTGCTGGTCAAGATACAACCTACGTGTGTGTGTGTGTGTGTGGTTTTTTAGGACCTGGAATAGTAATAGTGGTACCTTAGTTCTCAAATGCCTTTGTACTCAAACGCCGAAAACCCAGAAGTGAGTGTTCCGGTTTTCAAATGTTTTTCGGAAGCTCAACGTCCGATACAGCTGTTGGCTATTGTTTCCGGGGCGCCTGCACCCATCAGAAGCTGCACCTTGGTTTCCAAACATTTTGGAAGTCAAATGGACTTCCGGAACGGATTAAGTTTGGTGCTTCTGTTTTTGCTATTTATTTGGCGTTTTTGAGGCTTTTTCAGTTGATTTGTTTTTGTGACTGTGTGGAGCCCAGTTCAGCTACTGATTGATTGATTGATTGATTGGAAATGGATAAAATCCTCCCATCCAACCAATGACTATCATCAGTGCGGGTAAGAAATTTTTTTATTATTATTTTTATCATCTACAATACTGCCTTATTTATTTTATAGCGCAGTACATTGATTATAGCTTTCATTTTATGGATCAATGGTCTCGTTAGATAGTAAAATTCATGTTAAATTGCTGTTTTTGTTGAATGGTCTCTTTAAATGTGAAGGTTCATTATTGTTCCACAAGATGTGTATTTCTTTAAGGGCCAGAGCAAATAACGAGACCCAGTTTTACAGCTGTGAAACAGTATAGCAGGTGCTGCTAAGTTGTGTTAATTAAGCTGTGTCAGCAATTGGGTATCGTATATAAAGAGCAGCACCTAGCTCTCTCAGTACCCTGGGGGATGGGTCATGCTTGTTGATATATTTAGTGTAAAAGGAGTTTTTTTTTTTTATTAAAACCTTGTTAAAGTTATTTTTGAGTTCCTTGTAATGCGTGGTCTTCCCAGCAAGCTTTCTGCAGCGCAACTAAGCTGCAAATAGCCAACAGTTTTAGGGGTTGTTTTTAAAAGTCTGGAATGGAAAGCGTGCCCTGGTTGGCTTTGGAACGCTTTGGTTTTGGAACGGACTTCCAGAACGGGTTTGAGAACTAAGGTACCACTGCATAAACTAGCTAAAAATTAAAAGGGGAGAGTAGATGCAACTTGAACGAAGAGCCCAGGTCTATGTTTGACAGTCGTGTAGATAAGGACGCAAGGGCAGACAGGCTAGTAAATACTGCTGTGGACTAGTAATTTTCGTGGACTCGCCAATAAGGAAGACAACAGACTGCTTGGAATGTATAACTGTTGCCCCAGGGCCACACTTACCAATGAGAGTGAGGGAAGAGCTCTCGGCCTTTTCAAACGCAACCTGGCTGTTGCCAACGACAAGACCAACTTCGATCTGAATGAACGAAAACCATAATTAAAAGCCTTGAAGAGTAGTAACAGACACTCATGCTCCGTGTTCCCCAGAGAGCCTCAGAATGGAAAGAGAGGGCCGTTTTTATATTAAGACAAGCTCCATAGCAGCAGAAACCAGCAGGCAGCATGAGATGAAGTCATCCCAGCGCAGCTGGTGCTCAGCTTCAACAAGATTCCTAGCGGCATATGGTCAAAGAAGACCTATTTGTGACGATCCGCCCCCGTCTCAAGCTGTGAAAACAGGGGAAAGGACTTGGACTTCAGGGCTCCGAAAAGGAAATCAGCTGCCAGAACAGAAGGCAGGTGAAGAAAGAGCTACAACGCTGTTTTGCTCAAATCAGTGGGGTGCTGGCACAATATATAAAAGTGGGCACAACGGAAACGAAGATGTAAAAGAGATTTACCTCTTTATGAAAGAACACAGATCTCCGGGGCAGGGAGGGTGGGATTGGCACGAACCCTGGTTAATTAAAAGCTGATTCAAACCAGCATGTTCCCCATTTTGGCAGGAGGATATTCCTGACACATTTGGGAGGATTTCAGATTAATTCCTAGAAGCTTCTGGCGAGTCATACTCCATTTTTTAAACTCTAGGTATAGCAGTCTTCCATTATCTTCTGCCCCCCATTTTCTCTCTCCTTTTTTTTTAAAGGATTGATTTGGTTGTTAAGTAGGATTATCTTGGCGGGGGTGAAATTATGGAATCATTCTAGCCTGACAGCCCAGGGTTGGGACTTTGCTTGTATATTTTGCAGAATGAAAAGGAGATATTAATCAGATGCTTGTTCCCCACTAATTAAGATGGGAAACACATGTGTGAATAAGCCAATGCAGATCAGCATTTCTGTATCACTATATCCAAGATGAATCTCCTTGCTAGGATACGGCCAAGGTTACAGTTGGTCCAGCACTGAGTGACAAGGTGCTCACAGAAAGTCCACAATCAGGGCATTGCCTCAGGATTAGTGGACTCTATTCACATATTCCGTTTCCAATCATTGCAATTTACATTGAGGTAGCTCAGAAAGAGAGATCCAGTTCTGACCTTCTGTTTTTTCCCTGTGGCCGGCTCTCCTTTAAGAATACTGGGATCCATGGCTTCAATGTCCTTGACCAAGAGGCCAAAAAGCTTGTCGTTGAAGCTAAACACAAGCTGTGCAAACAAAGGGAAGGAAAATAAGGTTATTGAAACACTTGCCTGCATTTTCGTGGCTAGGGCGGCAGCCAACAAACAAATGAAGCTCCAGTTCAAGATTTATTTGGGTCCCTCTCTCCTAAGCCATCTCACCGGTCCAACAGCACAGCGAGGAGAGGCAATGTCTCCCTTCAAGCCAGCCCTTTCAAGTACTGAAGTTTTCACAAAGGGAATGGAGCCTAGGCAAGGTAGATTGGACCCAGAAGCTCAAAAGGCTTCAGTTGCACCTCTAGCCTTTGCTGAAGCAAGTTGCTGATTGGAGCTCTCCATGGTTCTGAAACTCCTGGCTCTGTTTGCCCCATGGGCTCTTTCACCAGACCAAGGCACTTTTCCTCTCACAAGTCTGACCAAGTCCAACTGTGAATATCAAGCAGCACTTCTGTAAGACATTTCTCTTTGGGTGGGCTTTTAACAATTGCCTAAGGTATATGGGATAATGCCTATATATAGGTAAAGGTAAAGGGACCCTAACCATTAGGTCCAGTCGCAGACGACTCTGGGGTTGTGACGCTCATCTCAAGGGAGCCAGCGTACAGCTTCTGGGTCATGTGGCCAGCATGACTAAGCCATTTCTGGCGAACCAGAGCAGCGCACAGAAATGCCGTTTACCTTCCTGCCAGAGCGGTACCTATTTATCTACTTGCACTTTGACGTGCTTTCGAACTGCTAGGTAGACAGGAGGAGGGACTGAGCAACGGGAGCTCACCCCGTCGCAGGGATCTGAACCACCAACCTTCTGATCAGCAAGCCCTAGGCTCTGTGGTTTAACCCACAGCACCACCCATGTCCCTTCAATGCCTATATATATGTATATGTCATCCTGTTTTTACTTTTTTCTCAAGTTATTGTTACAGTCATACCTTGGTTTTTGAACAGCTTAGTTCTTGAACGTTTTGGCTCCCAAACGGCGCAAACCCAGAAGTGACTGTTCTGGTTCGCGAACTATTTTTGGAAGCCAGCGGGGCTTCCAATTGGCTGCAGGAGCCTCCTGCAGCCAATCAGAAGCTGAGCTTTGGTTTCCAAACATTTTGGACGTCGAATGGATTTCCGGAACAGATTCTGTTCGACTTCCAAGGTACGACTGTATTTGTCCCATATGGCTGTAATGAGGTGGGGCAGAAACTAAATAAATATTTTGTCAGTTTGGCAACTGGTAGACGCTGCCCACATTTTTTGACAATTCTGATCCTTTGTACTCTCTGTGTGTGGGAAGGGGAGTAATAAATTGACTTGAGGAGATGCAACATACTTCTTTCAATCTGTAACTTTGCCGAGGTACAAAAATGCTTTTTCTTGGGTAGTAAATCTGGTGCTTTGGCTTCTTAGAAATTAAGCAGAAGATTCTGAACCAAATCTTGTAGACTTTGTAATTCAGATTTAAAAGAATCATACTCTTAGTGTGTAAAAGAGAATGAAATGAATGAGCATGTCAATAGACCATCCAGAAGGCTCTGATCAGGCTCCAAGATCCTTGGGTCTTTTGTCAAGCCTGGCTTTGGCCTCCTTCATGAACACATATAGTCTCCTCCTTTATACTAATAGAAAACTCATTCTTCAAATATGGCTCTTTCTGCACTCTAAATGGCACCAACCACAAACAAGAGGCACCAGACTCATGGAAGGCCAAAAATCTTTAGTAACATTTTTGGTTAAAAAGCCCAAGAGGGAGAAATAAATGGCCACAGAATGCTGGCCAGCTGTAGGGCTTTTGGGAGGGGGGAGCGCCAAAAAACCATATGAAAAGCATATCCTCTCTCCAGCCTCAAGGGTACTAGTGCAGAACCTAAAGATTCTTCTTTTTTTAATGCAACTCAGAATTTCAGCTTTCATGGTTCTCTTTTTTATCCTTCGTGGTTGCAGAAACTCTGCCTGAATATACAAGCTCATTATCCTGGGTAAAGAACTCCTTGAATGGGCTTCTAAAAAAGAGCCTTGTCTAACGCTGGTCCTAAAAACCCCCACTTCTTTTCAAATACCGTATTTTTCGCTCTATAGGACACACTTTTTCCCCCTCCAAAAATGAAGGGGAAATGTGTGTGCGTCCTATGGAGCGAATGCAGGCTCTTTGCCTTCAGCGATAGCAACGCGAGGCCTCCAAAGCACAGAGGGAATCTTGCTCTCCCAGCTTCAGCAAAAGGAACCTGAAGCCTTTGGAGCGCAGCACGAGTTCCCGCTGAACTCCAAAGGCTTCAGGTGGCTATCCCTGAAGCCTTTGGAGCGCAGCGGGAACTCGGGCTGCGCTCCAAAGGCTTTGGGTTCCTTTCATTGAAGCGGGAGAGCAAGACTGGCTTCAGCAGAGAGGGAGAGCTGCACAATGCCCCTTCAGGGAAGCGGGAGGAGAAATGGAAGGGGCTCCATTTCTCCTGCCGCTTTGCTGAAGGGGCGCTGAGCAGAGAGGGAGAGAATTTTTTCCCCTTGTTCTCCCCCTCTAAAACAAGGTGCGTCCTATAGAGCGAAATATACGGTAAATCCTCAAAAGGGTCCAGCCTACAAAAAGTGTACAAGCCATACACCTACAAACAACTCTTTTTATCATTTGCTGTCTAAAAGAAAGAGCGTGCAACTGATTTCTTTGCAAAGATTCGCTTTCTAGTGAACTGCGGTTGGCGATTTGCAAGACTGGAGTAATCGAGTCCTCAGAAGGGAGAAATGGTTTCAATGCTAAGTGAGAATCGCATATAAAGACCACAAACCTGCTGCCCCACTGTGAATGCCTGGTTGTTGAACTGCTGGATGAACTCGGCCGCCATTTTGTCAGAATCATACGGGTTGGAGTCGACGCTCTTCTTCTGCAGGAAGTCTATCTCAATAGTCATCGTGCCGACGCACTGCTTGGTCTTATCAAAGTTATACACGGAAACTGTGTGGGAGGCAGGGAAAGAACAGACGTCAGCGGAGTGCTGAAGGATCTCAGTTCAGGTCATTTGCCAACATCCCCTTAGGAACCACGTCCCCAAAGAACATAGAAAGGGTCTTCAACAAATGCTTAAATCAACAAACACTTAACCAAGGAAATGGAAGTGATGAATAATGGCAGTGCCATTTTAATGTGATTATCAACTATTTTATGACCTTGTGCTGTAAAGTACGGTGAGGCCTCCTTGGAGGGTATAAAAATGAACCAAGAGTATCTTGGCTGACTCTTAGTGCAGACCCAGGTCATCGAGCCTGAACTTCCACAACCGTCACCCGCCATAAACCACCATTGGCAGAATTGACAGCAACAGCAGTACATACGTTCAATGCTTACAATAATATTTCATTCTCTTGTTAATTGTGCTGTTTTAAATGTGCATTTTATACTTGACTTCCTTCAGTAATGTTTTATTTTGAAATCTTTAAGATAATATTTTAGTTACCTGTTAATTATGTTGCTTTGAATGTATACTTTATACAGCCGTACCTCGGAAGTCGATCGCCTTGCGAGTTGAACGTTTTGGCTCCTGAACACTGCAAACCCGAAAGCGAGCGTTCCAGTTTACGAACGTTCTTTGGAAGCCAAACGTCCAATGTGGGTTCCATGGGTTCCGATTGGCTGCAAGAGCTTCCTGCAGCCAATCAGAAGCCGTGCCTTGGTTTCTGAACATTTTGGAAGTTGAACGGACTTCCGGAACGCATTCCGTTTGACTTCCGAGGTACAACTGTATTTGATTTTATTCGGTACAGTAATGTTTTATTCTTGGATTGTTTTATTTGATGTTTTTAATGTGTTGTAAAGTGCTTTGAGATTTTGTCTTAAAAATATAAAGCGGTATAGAAATGAGAATAATAATAATAATAATAATAATAAACAGGAGCAGGAAACTCTTCTTGATCTTCTGGGTGCTCTTTGAGCTAAGCAGAAGCTCTGGTGCCTCCATAAGGGAAGGAACAAGGAGCAAAATTTCTGAAGTAAGCAGAAATCAAAGCATAATGAACAACAGGGGTTATATATATTTTTCAAAAGCGCCTAATCCATTAACTTTGAATTAGATTTCATGGTTGGTGACTATTAAGAGAGTGAAAACCACAAAATCAATATATCAGGCTGTTTCAGAGACAAAATGAACTAGTCTCATGGTCAATCCATTTTGGGTTTTGTTTTTAAGTGCGTCTAATTTTTGCAATTTCCCCCATAATATTGTGACAACACAATAAAGCAGACGGGAGCCCTGGTTGCCTCCGCTAGAGAAGAAAAAAGAGGCACCCTGGTTTCTGTTTCTTGGGGACACTGAAGGGTGAGAGAAACAAAAATTTGACATTCATGCATCTACTTGATATATGCTTCAGCCCTCGGAAGCATAACGCCACCTCCATAATGCGCACATGTTGTAAGCATCCAATTGGTAGGGGACAGTTTCCACGCTGCCTACAGGGAATTTGCTTCCTGGCACAAACCTCCAGAAAGAAACCTCTAAGTGGAAAGAGAATACAGTCATTACGCCTATGTGAGTAGTTCCCCGGCCTTCTCCTGCTCTTAGCAAAAATGATAAACATTGCAAGTTGGGACCGATCTTCTGTTTCTCGTTACAAGTTCCAATTATTGGAGATGCATCACAATGCCAACTGGGGCCTCTGTGCTCTCTTTTTCAGAGTGAATGAGAATTAAGAGCCACACCAAAGATGCAGCTGATGTAATTACTGCTTTTAAGGCATCATTAATGACGGCACAGCTTTGTCTAAAACACCAGTATACAGTGCCCAGTAGTGCTGTTAGTTTCATATTGCTGGGTAATGTACAAATGTACTTTTACTGCACAATGCAGGGTTAGCCACAGCTTCCTGCTTCTTTAATATCCTATTTATATCCCCTGCCCATTCCCAGAATTATACCAACTGCAACCTAGGTTTCCATTAACTTGTTTTTCCAGCACCTTGGACAGCGCACGGCAATATCACTATTAACAGCGCACCTTTTAGAACAGGGGTCAGAAACCTTTTTCAGCTGTGGGCCGGTCCACCGTCCCTCAGACCATGTGGGGGGCCGGACTATATTTTGAAGATAAAAATGAACGAATTCCTATGCCCCACAAATAACCCAGAGATACATTTTAAATAAAAGCACACATTCTACTCATGTGAAAACACCAGGCAGGCCCCACAAATAACCCAGAGGTGCATTTTTGGAGATTGGAGCTGAGGGAAGTTGGGGGGGTCGTTTTATGGGGGGGATTAAGGATGATATGTTTTAAGATAATATGTTTTGTTCACATTCCTAATAAAAAAAATTATTATTATTATTATTATTTTAAAGAGAGGGCGATTGGGCTGCACCCGGCCCAAGGACCTTAGGTTGCCGCCCCCTGTTTTAGGAGATAAGGGACAGGAGAGGGGGAAGGTTTGACAACTGTCGCCAGGGCTCCCGAACGATTGAAAACTGGAAGTGACTGTTCGGGTTTCCAAACGTTCTTTGGGAAGCCAAATGTCCAACAGGGCTTCCAATTGGCTGCAGGAGCTTCCTGCAGCCAATTGGAAGCCGTGCTTTGGTTTTCGAACGTTTCAGAAGTTGAACAGACTTCTGGAATGGATTCCGTTCAACTTCCAAGGTACGAATGTACTATAAACAAACTTACAGGAAACACTTACCATCGATGTCTTGCCCGATGGAAAGTCCAGCCCATTTTCTCTGAAAGAAAACAAAAAGATATATAGATATAGATATAGATGATATAGATATAGATGATATAGATATACAGTGGTGCCTCGCAAGACGAAAAGAATTCGTTCCAACTGCGCCTCTTCAAGCGGCTTTTAAAAAAAAGCGCAAGACGTTTTCGTCTTGCGAAGCAAGCCCATAGGGAAATTCGTCTAGCGAAGCAACGCAAAAACGGAAAACGCTTTCGTCTAGCGAGTTTTTCATCTTGCAAGGCATTCGTCTTGCGGGGCACCACTGTAGATAGGAACTAGAAAAAAACATCTCTTCGTCACAACTAAAAACAAACTTTCAAAGTGGGGGGAAGGATATGCAATTTTTCACAAGCATGCTACAAGTCATATCCTCAATAAGACTTCATGACACTCGTGTGACTATAGCCTATATGAGAGTCCGGACAGCACGGTGGCCAAATGTTTGAGCTAATGTCAAGAAGTCGCTGTCACAGCTCTTTACTTTGACAGCCATCTCCCAAATGCCCCACCCTACATGCAACTGGGGGGGGGGGTGACACCACTGGCCTACCATACAAGGTTGTTGTTTGGACAAACAAAAAGATAATGTGATGTGTTTTGAATACGCTAAAGTGCCAGTGGAAGACAGGCATGCCTGGCATGCTCTGGTCCATGGGGTCATGAAGAGTCGGACACGACTAAACAACAACAACAACAAAGTGCCATATAAAAGCTAGGTATTATATGCAGGTCCCCTACCTTTTGAAGGCAGCCCTGTTTAGGGAAGTTTTTAATTTTTGATACATTACTGTATTTTCATATTTTGTTGAAAGCTGCCCAGAGTGGCTTGCCAAGCAAGCAAGTAGGTCTCAAGCAATTTCGTAGCCACATTTGTTCAACTAGGTTTGCGAATCCATAGCACGGATTGTGCTACTGCATTGTTGCACTGACCACCAAACCCCTATCATATTCTGTTTATTGTTGTTTAGTGGCTTAGCCGTGTCCGACTCTTCGTGACCCCATGGACCAGAGCACGCCAGGCACTCCTGTCTTCCACTGCCTCCCGCAGCTTGGTCAAACTCATGTTCGTAGCTTTGAGAACACTGTCCAACCATCTCATCCTCTGTTCTTCTTGTGCCCTCCATCTTTCCCAACATCAGGGTCTTTTCCAGGGAGTCTTCTCTTCATTCTGTTTAAAGCACTGCTAATTAACTTTAAAGTGAACTCTGTCCTTATCGTTCAACTTGTTCTCGCCTCGAATTCTGCATTCCTGCTTTCTAAACCAGAAATTTCCACTTCCGTTTCTGAACTGTGTGCATTTTCGCCAGTGGCTCCCTACATTGGAAATGGGGAGATCCAATCTGTTCAATGCCACCCACTTTAAGAAGGTGTCTCAAAACCTACTTGTTTCAGTTAGCACTTGCCAACGCAATATATATATTTAGCTTCCTCTCCAGGTTTTTTCTTCCTCTCTGTTGATTGCTTTGATTACAGGCATAAGCTTGTGAACAGGATCTCACTTTTAATTTTTTGCAAAATGCCTAGCTGTATTAGAAACTTAGTAGTTTTATTCACTTCCAGTAGCACATTAGAGACCAATTAAGTTAGTTATTGGCATGAGTTTTCGTGTGCATGCACACTTCTTCCAATATCTTCAGATATCTTAGCTGGTCTCTAAGGTGCTACTGGAAGGATGTTTTTAATTTTTTATTTTGTTTTGTTTCGACTACGGCAGACCAACACGGCTACCTACCTATAACTAGTTTTCTTCAGATTGCTATTTAGCCTGACCCATCTAAGCCTTTTGATTAGTAACATGATCTCCTCACAGTGGTTCTGCAGAGTTATCTTTATCTTCCCCACTTCTCAAGGCAGGGAAACAGAGGTATTCCATAACACCTCCAGATGAGTCAGAGACAGAAACAAAGATTTGCAGCCTGGTCTCCAAAGCAAGCACCCTTACATAGTTGTTGAATTAAAAAAAGAAAAAACAGAGAGAAAATCCTCTTTTGCAATTCACAGCCCTGTAGGCTATTCCCCCTTTGCTGTTTTGTTGAAAGAGGAGAGGAAAAATCTCACCCAGCAGTTCACCCCCCAAGCTAGGCTGCACTTGATTCACAGGTTCAAAGTGTTTGCTGACACTGCAGGTGGTTCAGGGAAGCCAAGGAGATTAATCACACACTGCAAAGTGTTGCTGCTAAATATCCAGCGATGCGCTACATTTGACAAATTTCTTCTGCATGGAGATTTGCAAGTACCAGATCACTGGGAGATTATTTAGCAGCAGCACTGCTTTCCCAGGGAAGCTATAACCCTCTGTTCCACATTGCTTGTGCTGAAGCCATGGCAGGGGATCCAAGCAAAATAATAATAATAATAATAATAATAATAATAATAATAATGTATTATTTATACCCTGCCCACTCTGGGGTGCTCCCAACAGAATACTAAAAACACAATAAAAGATCAAACATTAAAAAGCTTCCCTAAACAAGCCTGCTTTTCTAAAAGTCAGGTAGTTGTTTATTTCCTTGACATCTAACGGGAGGGCTTTCTACAGGGCAGGTGCCACTACCGAGAAGGCCCTCTGCCTGGTTCCCTGGAACCTCACTTCTCGCAGTGAGGGAACCACCAGAAGTCCCTCGGCACTGGACCTCAGTGTCCAGGCTGAACAATGGGGGTGGAGATGCTCCTTCAGGTATACTGGGCTGAGGCCGTTTAGGGCTTTCAGGGTCAGCACCATCACTTTGAATTGTGCTCAGAAACATACTGGGAGCCAATGTAGGTCTTTCAGGACTGGTGTTATGTGGTCTCGGAGCAGCTGGCTGATGGGATGCATCACATGACAGTAGCCATCCTTTCTGAGGAATGAGATGAGAGATACTTCACAGCTCTCTACTCTCAAGCAATCTTGCTTTCCGCATAACTTTCCTATAAATTAAATTGTCTTGCCACATCAGACCAAAAGGTGCTCCCCAACAGTGACTGACCAGATGTCCCTGGGAGGCCAACTTTAATACGCAAGCTTTGCATTTTTGTGGGGTTTTTTTTAAAAAAAACCACAAAAAACAACCATAGCTTTTAGTATGAAGTTCCATTTCACTCTTGGCCAATCAAGCAATAAACAGTCGAAAACATACCTGCGGTAAACTGAAGGCGATGGTGCCTGGGACAACGGAGGAGTAAGTTCTTAGCGTAAAAATGTATTTGTGGTTCGGGGAGGTCTTCACAACTACATGCCTACAAGGGGGAAGAGAAATGGAAATTTTATTTACAACATAACATAACCCCCCCCCTACAGAAATCCACCCTCATTAAACGTGAACATAACATACAATGAGCATAGCATACAACAATACAAACAACCAAATAAAATACTTCCTTTATCCTGTATCTGGCCTCCTTTTTAACTTCTTATAAGCTGTTTCCTTTATGAATAATTAAGATTTTTCTAATTATAACTTAAATATCCACAAAGTCTCCTGCAGACATTAATCGAAACAAGTCCAGGTATGTATTTTGGGGCACTATTTTGTGAAGTACCGTATTTTTTCGCTCTATAGGGCACACCTGACCATAGTGCGCACCTAGTTTTCAGAGGGGGAAATCAAGGGGGGAAATATGACCCCCCCCCAGCTCTGCGAGCAGCAAAATGAAAGAGAAATGGACAAGGATTGCTACACCCCATGCAGAAAGTTCTAGCCTCAATCTTTGGCATCTCGCAGGTAGTGCTGGGAGAGAACACTGCCTGAAACCATGACTAGTCAATGTAGACAATATCGAGCTGGCTGGGCCGACAGTCTGATTCAGTATAAATCAGAGAATAAAAGACCCTCAGAGAACATGTTCTTCAAGTGACAGCTATATAGCTCTTCCCATGCAGATTCTGGCTGTCAAGAAGAGCAACTGGGGTCAGTTCTGGCCGCCTTGCCCTTGATAAAAGAGCAATCCCTTGTGGGAAGGGCTCTTCCCATCAGATCTAGCAGCAGAAGAAGTGACGGTGTCCAGCCCAGGAGGACAGAGCAGCTTCCTGCTACACAGTTCTGCCCTCAAGCATATGCACATTCAGGAAAGAATAAGTGAATTCCATATAGCTTACAAGGCTGGGATCCAAACTATCTGCACGGTGACTCTATTAAAATCCTTCAGAAAAGTTAGTTGTGACTAACTTAAGCCCCACTGATTTCAAAGGGAACAAAATGCAACAAGCATGAGGCTCACTACTCCTGTGATTTCTTTTCATGGGTCTGAGAGGGTTTCTTTTTTCTTGTTCCAGTGCTTTTCCACGGTTAAACCTGCTGGTTACTGCTGAATCAGGACAAACATCTATCTGCAGAAAACCTGATCAATATCTTTTCCTTGATTCAGTAGTAAACAGCGGGTTTTAAAAGATTAAAAATTCTCGGACCCGTGACTGGAAATCGCAGGACAAGTGGAATTGTGGTTGAGCCCATAATCTGTATGCAATCCACACAGGTTTCAGCTTTAAGGCGTGCCTGAGCAGGTAGTTTTCTGCAGGGCAAATATCCGTTTCAGGGATTTTACCAGTGTTGGTCTGCAGTATAAATGAAATGTGAATGTCAGCCTTCGCGGTTGCAGAGAAAACCTGGGAACTCAAAGGAAGCCGCAAATGTGCATACACACATCTCCACTGACTCATAAGGAAGAGTGCCATAAACAGTGTTCTCTCACTAATGTACAGAGAAAGCAGCATTTCCCATCCCTTACACCGGTTACCATGGGAGCGTCCTCGTCTTTTCCACCACCACGCTCCCCCCACACGGGCCTTTCTAATCCCAAATGTGACAGGTGCTGAAGAAAAACCATCCATGTAGTCGCTACAAATGAGACTGTGATGGAGAACGATATGCATTTCTCAGCACTGATGAACATACATGGTTGCACAATCGATGTTGTGAGGACTCAGCTGATACCTCGCTGTCGCCACAGAAGGAGGAGCTGGGTGCTGAGCGCCCACAGTGAGGCGAGGGAGGAGAGTTTCCCCCCCCCGGGGGGGGGTGAAATGTAACTCCCACATTCCCAGCTTTCATTTTAAAAAACAAAGGCGTCTCTAGCTGTTGTAGAACCCGAGGTACGAGACAAAACGTACCGACATAATTCTTCTAATTTCTAGGGTGAGAAATTAGCTAGCTCTCACTTTCTGTGTTTTACTCCCCCCCCCATGGGGGGGACTACTGATGCCCATCACATGCCTTCTTGTTAGTGTAATAATTAAATTTAAGGTCTTATATATATAATAGGTAAAGGTAAAGGGACCCGACCATTAGGTCCAGTCGTGGCCGACTCTGGGGTTGCGGTGCTCATCTCGCTTTATTGGCCAAGGGAAACCGGCGTACAGCTTCTGGGTCATGTGGCCAGGATGACTAAGCCGCTTCTGGCCAACCAGAGCAGCGCACGGAAACACCGTTTACCTTCCCACCGGAGCGATACCTATTTATTTACTTGCACTTTGACGTGCTTTCGAACTGCTAGGTTGGCAGGAGCAGGGACCGAGCAACAGGAGCTCACCCCGTTGCGGGAATTTGAACCTCCGACCTTCTGATCAGCAAGTCCTAGGCTCTGTGGTTTAACCCACAGCGCCACCCACGTCCCTATATATATATATGTTCATAAATGTACCAACCAAGCACATACATAAATCAGCACAGGAAGACCGACCTGAAACCATTTTGACTCCCAAACTGACCAAATGTTTTCTCTGCAAGGAGGGAGGGGGTCAGGGAGCCTTCCCATTGTCTCAGGAATTGGGAAATCACCATCTCAAAGGGTGACAGACTACCAGGAAAGGCAATCAGATAAGGCATTATCAGATAACCTGGTAGACAGGAAAAACAACATTCAAATTTCTGTTGTAGACCACCTTTTCTGTGATGTATGTATGATGTATGGAGGGGTGGTCTTGAGCTTCAGAGCAGGGAATTTAAAATGTCTATATAAGGGCAGGCACACCTCGGTTCTGGGTCCCTCTCCTTTCCTGCTTGTGAGGGGAGTACCCTGTTGCAACAGATCAATAAAGATCAAGCTTACTAGCTGTTTTGCTTCTCAATATTCTCTGGTTGGCCTCTGTTATTTTCCCCTACCAATAGGGAACCCACGTAAGGATTCTATATGGGCTCTTGGATACCACATAAGGGGAAAAGGGCAGATTTTGTTTACAACATTAGACAATAAAGGACAAGGTCTGTGAGGGGGCGAGACTCATGAAATTTGCAGTGTTGTGTCCAAGCAACCTCTGTGCCTCCAAGCCACATTCTCACATCAAACAGGCAGCTATAACTGGGTTAGAGGCGTCTATGTCTCTCAGGGAATGTTTTTGGTGTGGCGTTGCCTTCTGCAAAGCGGAATCATTCCTAACAAAAGGCGCCACCTCAAATCAACACTAGAAGAGATTGGAGTCATTCAGAGCGGTGGACCTTTAGACTAATGAAACTGCAAATGCTTAATTGTTCGCTTTCAGGAAACATAAACACACAATTGCACCTTAAAGCTTTTTACTATGCCCTCTGGCTGGCAGGTTATGAGTGTTCCACTTTTATGAGGCTCAGGCTGCATTTTTCATTGGTTTATTGCTTGGAGCAGGTAATTGTTTTAGATTTATGTCATTAATTCATGAAGTGCCTTCTATTCTAGTAAGAGAAGCAATCTAAAACAACAATATTTGAATGACTGTTTTTTGGCAACATTCCACCTTTAGGGGATCGGAACCTGGGAGCAATATATTGCCCAACCAGCCCAGACAACGTCCTGCAAAACTCTGGGGATGAGCTACTAAAGGCTCTGGGAAACAGCAGGTTCCTGTAAATTATTTTCCCCCCAGTCACCGCAAGAAAAGGCAAATTCTCCATTAGAGTGTGAGGATAATAACCACCAAAACTTACAAGCCAGACTGAAAGTCCTTTTCGTTGACCACCGCACAGTTGCTTAAGGAGAGTTCGTCCGTGGGACATCTCGCAGCTTGCATAGTCTGTGAGGGAATCAGAGAAGACGCGAGGAAAGGTCAGAGCGGCAAGACATCATAGGACATGTATATAAGACGGCTTTGCTCTCTAAGGTCCACATTTTAATTAGCCAGAGGGAACAGGAAAGGCAAATTAGCTGCTTACCACTTGCTTGGCATTCAGAATACTAGTACAGCGATACCTTGGTTCTCGAACTTAATCCATTCCAGGAGTCCCTTCGACTCCTGAAACCGTTCGAAAACCAAGGTGTGGCTTCCAATTGGCTGCAGGAGCTTCCTGCACTCAATTGGAAGCCGCGTCGGAAGTTCGGCTTCTGGAAAATGTACGCAACCGGAACACTTACTTCCGGGTTTGCGGTGTTCAGGAGCCAATTTGTTTGGGAGCCAAGCCGTTTGAGTACCAAGGTACCACTGTACTCTAAAGGAACACCTCCACAGAAGAAACATGTTAGTTGTGCATGTGGGAACCTGGTTCTGAGAACACTCATGACATAGAGAAGGAAGGAAACCAATCAGACGGAGGAAGCAAAGCTGTGTAATAATAAATAATAATAATTTTATTATTTATACCCCTCCCGTCTGGCTGGGTTGTGTCGGTATGGAACAAGACTCTCATGACTGTATGGCTTCACCATACAGTGGTGCCTCACAAGACAAAATTAATTCGTTCCGCGAGTTTTGTCGTCTTGCGATTTTTTTCGTCTTGCGAAGCACGGTGTCGGGAAAGTTTTGGAAAAGCTTCAAAAATCACCAAAGTCTTTAAAAACCTCAAAAAAAGGCTACCACACCGCGTGCTGTGAGTTGCTCCTCGAAGTCAAGTCGCAACTGTATTAACGGTGTTAAGAAAAAGGAAACAAACTTGCAAGACGTTTCCGTCTTGCGAAGCAAGCCCATGGGAAAATCTTCTTGCGAAGCAGCTCAAAAAACAAAAAACCCTTTCGTCTAGCGAGTTTTTTGTCTTGCGAGGCATTCGTCTTGCGAGGTACCACTGTACAAGGGTCCTTGTACATTGAAAGCCAGCACATCAAGGAAGAAAAGAAAAAGGCCAAGCTTTCCTTTGACTACTACTACTTATTATTATTATTAATATTATTATTCAGATTTATATACCGCCCTTCATCAAAAGATCCCAGGGTGGTTCACAAGACAAAAATACAAGATAAAAGCACAAATAAATAGTTAAAACAGAAACAACGGAACAAAACAACCTCTCCTCCCACAAACACGTTTTAAAGGCTGTAGAATATTAATCAGCCAAGGCCTGGTTGAAGAGTATATTGCCCAACCTGCCCAGATAGTGGTTTTAATTAAGACATTTATCACGTCTTTCTAAAAAAAAAAGTCCTCAAAGAATCTTGCGGCAAAAAGAATAAGCTACAAAATACAATAAACAGACCTCAACGTTAACAATTAGAGAGTTAATTTGACAGAGAGTTGAGTTTTATTCAGGGCTGGTTATTTGCCCCGTGTTACCATTTCCCCATTTTATTATGTTTTAATTATTTTATCACACACTGCCATGATATTCCTCTTGCCCGTTGGTGATTTATGTATGCTCTTACGCAGAAAACAAATAATTAAAAATCAACCAAAACTATCACAGATACAGGAGACAGGATCGAAAGCCCATTGGCCTAAGACTTTTTTTTTTAATAACTAAAGATAATGGTTTATGGAAAGTGGCTTTATTAGGTGTTCTCCTGGAGTGGATGAAGTGAATAATGTTTATATATTTAGCGGGCAAATGAAGAGTCGCAAGTTCCTTAGCTTCTCTCTTTCAAGTGGAACAAGTCAAGAAAAGGTACCCCCATATTTTTATATTTTTTCTGAAGCTTTGTATCAGATCTCCAGACAGTGATAACTTTGTGACAGGGGTCCCCTAGAGTCCCCCAAGACACATGTCCCACAAGCAGCGCTCAAAATTTGTCAGGCACCAGGCACATTTTGCCTGTGGCTATCAGCTACGTGCGACCAAGTGAAGATGCCCAGGTAACATTAGGTTGCCACCTGATGTCTCCAACATCTGGAGATGCCTACCTGGGGATGCCAGGATCCTGACTGTTTTCACACACTAGCAACACATCCTGTGGAATTCTATCCGTTATATTTTATCTGAACAATCAGGATGAATTTCAGGAACCAACAAGTCGTACTGGCATTATAGGTCAGGATATTAATAGGCAAGATGTTAAATTGTTTTTACAGTGGAACCTCGCAAGACGGAAAACCCGCAAGACGAAAGGGTTTTTTGTTTTTTGAGCTGCTTCGCAAGACAATTTTCCCTATGGGCTTGCTTCGCAAGACGGAAACGTCTTGCAAGTTTGTTTCCTTTTTCTTAACACCGTTAATACAGTTGCGACTTGACTTCGAGGAGCAACTCATAGCACGCGGTGTGGTAGCCTTTTTGAGGTTTTTGAAGACTTTGGTGATTTTTGAAGCTTTTCCAAAACTTTCCCGACACCGTGCTTCGCAAGACGAAAAAAATCGCAAGATGACAAAACTTGCGGAACGAATTAATTTTGTCTTGCGAGGCACCACTGTATATGCAACATCTTCAGCAAGAGTATTGTTAGCCCAGAAATGGAAACAAGAAGAAATTCCGACAAAAGAAGAATGGCAGACGAAATTAATGGACTATGCAGAATTGGACAAAATGACAGGAAGGATTCAAAACCTGTGGGACCAGAGATTTACAGAAGACTGGAAGAAGTATATGAATTATTTGAAGAGCAACTGTAATCAACAAATTACGTTAGTAGGACTACAAGAAGTTTTGTAAAGAGAAATATACGAAGTGTTACAAAGTAGAAAAAGATAAAAGATATTGGTTAAGAGTTTCAAATGTAATAGGGAAGAGAAGAAATGCATATTGAGAGATTAGATTGAAAAATTTCCAGACAGGATTTATGGAAGTAAAAAATTTGAATAAGATGTAAAAGTATGTTTCATTACTGTTGAAAAGGATATGTTAAAAAAACTAATAAAAAATTCTATACCGTATTTTTTGCTCTATAAGACTCCCTCCTAAAAAGTAAGGGGAAATGTGTGTGCGTCTTATGGAGCGAATGCAGGCTGCGCAGCTATCCCAGAAGCCAGAACAGCGAGAGGGATCGCTGCTTTCACTGCGCAGCGATCCCTCTTGCTGTTCTGGCTTCTGAGATTCAGAATATTTTTTTCTTGTTTTCCTCCTCCAAAAACTAGGTGCATCTTGTGGTATGTGCGTCTTATAGAACGAAAAATTCGGTATATATAAAAAAAGAAAAAATAAAACTTTTGAGGCATCTGATCCAAAAATGGCAACTAAGCATTCCATTTCGACAACTGTAACTTTGGTTTAAGGAGCTGTTTGGTACCTAGCTTATATATCAGAGTTTCTAACACTGCCCACAAGTCAGGCGTTTGGGACCTGAAAATTATCACAGGTTATCCACATGCATGGTGCCTTATGTAGCTGCGCAAGCAAAAACAGAGAATTTGGCGCTTTGCAAGCAGATTACGATCTAAAAATGGCTCTGAACTGCAAGCCAGGAGAGCCTCACGTCCTGACATATATTGTACATGCAAACCCTTGGCATTAATTTCCACAACACAGAGGACAAGATTAACTTGGGCACTGATCTGCCGCAAGACAAGGGAGCAAGTGTGCGCGGCAGAAATGATCTATGAGTCATCTGCAGCCTGACAGGGAGCAAAACGGGTGAACCCAAAGCAATATGAAAATCTGTGATGTGACTGAGGACGCGGGGTGCCTCAAGCTCTCTTCCAAAAAGAGGAGAGGCCAAGAACAGAGTGCCCTCAAAAGTGCAGAAGGGAACATGAATAAAGGAACAATGCTAATGGCTCGTCCTGCTAGATCCATCAGGTTCTTCAAAAAAGTGTCTCCAAATGCAGTCAGGAATCAGAGTATGAGTCTGCCTACTTGAAAACAATGCAACTCAGAAGGCTGCTAAGTGACGCAGTTTAGTTTAGTTTATTATTTATTTCCTTCAGATTATAACTCGTTACATAAAATATACGGTGGGCTAACCAGGCATTTGTTTTTAGATGCTTTCATCCTGTGGTTTTATTGGCTTCAGGTTGTATTTTTGTTTTTAATGATGCTGTTATCATTTTTAAAAGATATTGTATACGGCTTAGAGATTTAAAAATATTACGAAGATTATAAATGCTTTCCAATCAGGGGTTATTAAACGTCTCCACCCTCTCCCACAGATCACTTGAAAATGGGTGAGGGGTCTCGGTGGACCAAATCATGATTTTTCAGCCTGTTTTAGCAATAGTGACACACCATGCTAGATGCTGCACGATTTTCTGCGATGTCTTTAATGGCTTCTTTTATTCCTCATAGATTGTATCTTACTGTGTTACAATTTAAAAGCAGCCATGAAACTAAAAATCACTATGAATATTCATAGTTGTCAACTTTTCCCTTTTCTTGCAAGGTATCCTATTCGGAATAAGGGAATTTCCCTTTTAAAAAGGGAAACGTTGACAGCTATGTGAATATTCCATGTGGTGGAATTTTCAACCAGAAATCCACAGACCTGCCGCGGGTCACCTGAATGAAGTCTGCAGACCACTGATGATCTATAGACCACAGTCTGAGAACCCTGGCTGACTGGCTGACTGACCGAACCCAAAGGGTGCTCATCAATTGTTCCTCTTCATCCTGGAGAAGAGTGACTAGTGGGGTGCCACAGGGTTCTGTCTTGGGCCCGGTCTTATTCAACATCTTTATCAACGACTTGGATGATGGACTCAAGGGCATCCTGATCAAATTTGCAGATGACACCAAACTGGGAGGGGTGGCTAACACCCCAGAGGACAGGATCACACTTCAAAACGACCTTGACAAATTAGAGAACTGGGCCAAAACAAACAAGATGAACTTTAACAGGGAGAAATGTAAAGTATTGCACTTGGGCAAAAAAAAATGAGAGGCACAAATACAAGATGGGGGACACCTGGCTTGAGAGCAGTACATGTGAAAAGGATCTAGGAGTCTT